GCACTGGATGGATGTTTCGTTTTAGTATAGGACTCATAAGGAGTGCGTATCCATGGACACCGCACGCGAGAATCAAGCCCAACCAATTCTGTCCCGGGCAGTCCTTTCTAGTCACATTCTACTACTATTCATTATTTTCATGTCTGTCTCCAATTCTCAACATAGTATATTCTTTGGTCTACTTCTCCTTCTTTGACCTTGAGGATTCCAAGTGTGAGCTTGCCTCAAGATGCAGTTGGGTGCCACATCTACTTCCAGCGCTTCTTCCTGATTTCTTCTCCCGCTAGAATCTGGTTTGTTCTCTTCCATAGTAGGTTGTTGGTGCCTGACCAACGGATGAGGAGTATCTTACGTAGACAACTGCTAATCAACACTTGTATCTTCCAGATGATAGCTTTTGTGGTGCTCTAAGTTTCCACTCTATACAATAGAACTGTCTTGATGTCATTGTTGAAAATTAAGACTTTGGTGTTGGCTAACAGACATTTCTTTTAAGTTCCATATGTTCTCTGATTGTAAAAATGCTACACTTGCTTTGCTAATCCATGTCTTTACATCTGCATCAGACCCAAGTTGTTTTTTAATGATACTGCTTAAATATGTGAAGGCTTCTATCTCGTTCAAAACTTTCCCGTCAAGTGTGATTTGGTTGGTTGGTACATGTTTTGTTGTATCGGAGAGAATCTTGCTTTCTCCCTTTGTGCATGTTGAGGCTGTTGCTACACCGGTAGTCTTCTCTTGCACTGGTTGTTGCGTTTGGGATAGAAGAGCTAGATCATCTGTGATATCCAACTTATCTAGCTGTCCACTGTATCCAGTGATTCCCCCTACCAGATATTGACGTCTTCATAACCCAGTCGATCACCAGGAGAAAGAGAAAAGGGTGAGAGTAAATAACCTTGCCTGATACTTAGTTTTCACTTGGAATAAGTCTGTAAGCTACTCTCGATGCATAATTTCTCCAGTTTAATCCTATCCTTTCCGGTACACTACATTAATAGTACATCATAGAAAATCATCTTGTGCCAGTCTGATTGAGTACATATTTACTACATATGTGATTTGTTGTAAACTAGGGCACGGTCAATAACTTCACTTACATTATTGATTAACAATCTCATTAAAATACACGCACACACACACACACACGAATAAGTGCTTCTGCTTATTATTCATTCACTTACTGACTTTTTGATATGCTTGTCTAACATGTGTTTAGGAAACGAGTACTAAGTAAGGATGGCAAATCAGTTGATGAAGTAGTGAAACTTCATCAGTTGAGGTAGTTGGGACATATGTTACATATGTGCTAACCACCGACTGCCTAGATGAGTGATGTTTTGTGGTGTAGGAAGAAAGCTAGGGGTGTTCAGAACAAAACATGGCACAAATCCATGAAGTCACTGACAACTGGATTGTGTCATGTTGGTAAGCGTCAAATACCCAGTTAGGGTGCACGAGATGATAGTAATAGATGGTTAGAGACCTTGAATAGCATGGTTCGAAATCATTCACAACGTCGCAGATGAATCCATTCGTTGTCTTATCTCAGATTCTAATCCTCTGGATTTCTCTTTATAAGTTTATTTCACTAGATTCTACTTCTTGAATCATTTCTTCAAATTGTAATCTCTCCGAATACTGCTCATACGTCTGCTACATCTATGACTACGGGATTTGAATTGATAATTGCATCTCTGTGTGAGCTGAATGTAGTATGGCAACTTGAAACCTGATGTACATACATACGTACGTACGTACAAAGTTCTACGTTGTAGCTCACTGACTCATTGATGTCAAATTCAGTGTATAAATTTGTATGACATAAACTACACCTCTATTTAAAAAATGAACAAATTTGTATTGAAATGAAATTAATTTGTCTAAAAGGTAATTTTGTACAAGGCAAAAAATAGTGTGTGTTGACTTACATTGATCGATGAAATTTTGATTGATAAGATAATTTTTTGTTGGTAAAATTAATTGTTTACAAATTGGATAGTGTTGAACACTTGCTTTGGAAGAAAAAAACAGAGAGAAAATAGAAATGTAACAACAATGAAAAACTCGACACTAGCATTCACAAATAAAATACCGTACTACTTGCTACTACTTTGGTGTACGCTACTGATGTTCATATAAGTAGTATATGATATCAAACGGAAATCAAACGTCTGACAGGAAAAGATCGAGAAAGAAAGAATGAGAACTGAAAGGCGATTTGTAGGCAACGAACGTAAAGTGAACTAAAGTCTGAACAATGTAAATGAAAGAACACTGAAATCTGTAACAAATAAGGATTAGTTTGCAAATGATGATTTCAGGGGAAGGTTTTCTACACATATGCTTAACAACACTGTAATATTCGCTTAAATATGTAGATGTTGATGTCCTCACCTGAGTTTTTGTGCACAACACTACTACTAATATTACTGTAAGTCAGTTACTCAGTCAACTACAATGTAGAACTTTGTACGTACATAAATCAATTCAAGTTGACATACTGTATGAGCTAAAAGAGAGATAGAATGGTCAGTTCAAATGCCATAGTGGTAGATGTAGTAGAAGTGTTAGTCGTAATGGAGAACAATAGGGTTCGAAGATATATATTCAATAATTAGAATTTAGTGAAATAAACACGGTTATGAGGAATGCAGAAGATTAGAATTTGAGAGAACACAAAGAATGGATGCGCCTGTGCCATTGTAAACGATTTTGAACAATGTCATTCAAGATATCTACTCATCGGTGACTATCGTCTAAAGGACCCCAACCAGATAGCCTACATCTACCAAATGACTCAGTTCACTTGTTAGTGACTTCATAGATGTGTGTCATATTTTGGTTTGGCCGCCCCTAGCGTTCTTCCAACCTACTCCTATACGACAAAAAAATAGCTCAACGAGGCAGTCGATGGTTAGGCATACGTAACACATGTCCCAACCACTTCTTAGTTACTTACGCCTGTTACCCTCAAATGGAGCATAGGCTGCCGATCAGCATTCTCTAACCCACTCTATCCTGGGCCTTCCTTCATAGTTTTATCGAATTGCTGTCCATTCTTTTCATGTCTGTCTGCAATTCTCAGCGTAATGTGTTCTTTGGTCTTCCCCTTTTCCTGTCCCAACCACCTCAACTGATGAATATTCACTACTTCATACATTAATCTGCCTTCCTTACCTAGTCAGTTAGTCAGTCAACAATTACGTAGAACTTTGTACGTACTTACATCGACTCAAGTTGTCATACCATATTAGCACAGAGGGAGATGGATTTGTTAATTTTAAATCCCACAGTAGTAGAGGTAATCGAGAAGATTAGAGTTCGAAGAGTATAACCCAGTGAAATAAACTTAAACAAAGGAAAACAGAGATCATAAAGAATTCAGAAGATTAAAATTTCAGAGAACACGAAGAATGGATGCATCTGCACCTGTGAAAACGATTTGGAGCTGTGTTGTTCAGGGTCTCTAACCACCGATTGCTACTGTTTCGCGGACCCAGACCAGGTAGTCTACACCTACTAACATAGCTCAGTACAGTTGTCAGTGACTTTATGGATTTCTGTCATGTTTACCTAGTACCTGTTTAATAACAGCGACAACGCCTGCTCGATTGTCCCAGGATATACGAACAATGCATAATAGTAACCTATGAATATCCTCTACTCTAACTGGTCATGTTTCACGCCTGTAAAGTAGGATGGAACGAACTGATGCGCAGAAGACTCGTCTTTTGCTCAGCAAACGGATATCTTCCCTCAGTGATAAGTGACGCAAGTTGACAAAAGCCAGTCGAGCTTTTTGTATCCGTGCTGAGATTTAGTCACACACCACGTTATCTATACTGATGAGACTCCCAAGGAGATAAGTGGAGCGGTTAACACATTCAGCTATTAAACTCCTTATCACTTATTTTGGTTAGATTCTTTACGAGTAAGTAACATGATGCAACTTTCTGGTTACAATGATACGGACCAATTTTTTCACTATCTATCATTCAGTTTCCATCATGAATTAGTTTGATGTTGATTTTATACATTCCACTGCAGTTTTTCTACATCCAATTGAAACGTATGGGAATCATTTATCGAATCGCTTCAACGGATGTATAAATATCATTAAAACAAACAGTAACTGCTATTCCCTTGTTGGACTGGAGCTCTTAAAGATCCACCTAAATATTTTTCGGCCTGACTTGTCCTACTTACTTACTTACTTAGGCCTGTTACCCCCAATGGAGCATAGGCCGCCCACCAGCAGCATTCTCCAAACAACTCTGTCCTGGGCTTCCCTTTCCAACTCTGTCCAATGTTTGTTCATTCTTCTCATATCTTTCTCTATTTCTCGGCGTAATATGTTGTTCCTTGATCTTCCTCTCTTCCTTTTGCCTTGAGGGTTCCATGTGAGGGCTTGTCTTGTGACACAGTTAGGTGCTTTCCGAAATGTGTGTCCTATCCACTTCCACCGCTTCTTCCTGATTTCCTTCTCCACTGGAATCTGATTTGTTCTCTCCCACAGTACGCTGTTGCTGATCGTGTCTGGCCAACGAATCCGAAGTATTTTGCGTAGACAACTGTTTTGTTCTACTTACTAAGCGATAATAAAAAAGCCCTTGGCTTTTTGAAGGTAAAGAAACTCCCTAAAAAAAATTCAATGTTCAGTTCATCTGTGACAGACAGACAGATACAACGCAGAACTTCGTACACAAGTACATCAGTTCAGGTTGCCATACCACGTCAGCACAGAGACGTAACTGTCAGTTCAAATCCAAGAGTGATAGCGATAGTAGAATTATTAGCAGTAATGGAGAAGATTAGGGAGCGAAGATATGATTCGAAAAGTATAATTCAGTGAGATAAATTTAGAAAGAGAAAGATAGAGATTATGAGGAATTCAGAAGGTTAGAATTAAAAAGCACACAAAGAGTGGATGCACCTGCGCCATTGCAAACGATTCTGAGCCATGTCATTCAAGGTCTCTAACCATTGGTGACTATCGTCTCGCGGACCCCAACCAGGTAATCTACATCTACCAACATGACTCAGTTCACTTGTCAGTGACTCCATGGATTTCTGCCATGTTTTGGTCTGCCCGCCAAAACATGGCAGAAATCCATTCACCTGTGATGCAACCAGTGTGGTTGTAAGTAGAAATAACTAAACAGTAATAAAGTGTCTCTATGCTTTTAAGTTTGTACAACAGTTTCATGAGACTCGGAATAATATTTTATGATTTGGAATGCTTGACATTGATGGCATTTGTGGAACAAGTTGATGACAGAAACGGAGGGTTAATAGTAGTAACAAGGTTGTCAACACAATGAGCTTGACTACATTTTGTCTTACTGTTATCTAACTGACCAGTTTGAAATGATGTAACGTGAAGAAACAAATGTTCTAGTCAGTATAACTTGACTACATTGTCACTGATAAGTAAAACCGATCATTGTAGCTATGACTGAATAAACCTATGTAACAAATGGATTTCCGACCCCTACTAACTTTCAACCACGTTTTATACTTTGTTATTCATCTGGTTAATGGGGTAATAAGTAAAGAGGGCAAATCGATTGTTGAAGTAGCGAATTTTCATTAACTAAGATGGTTAAGACAGGTGTTATGTATGCCCAATCACCGATTAACTCGATGGGTGATGCTGTCTAGTGTGGGAGTAGGTTAAAAAAAAACCAGGGCAAGCTAAACTAAAACATGGCACGAATCTATGAAGTCACTCACCATTGGACTGAACCATGTTAGCAGGTATAGACTATCTGGTTAGGGTCCACGAGACAATCTTTACCGATGATTGTAGACTTTAAATGATATGGCTTAAAATCGTTTGCAATGGCACGTGTGCATCCATTCTTTGTCCTCTCTCAAATTCTAGTCTTATAAATTCCTCATGACATCTTTTATAATTTATTTCACTGGGTTCCCGACCGTAGTTGCTACCTTCACTTGATGGTCGGGCTTGCCTACCACGATGACCCAACCAAACTATGTTGGCTAAAACATATGTTCCTGAAGGTTCTACTATGCCAGGCAGGTCGATTGGAGAACGATGAGACTAAAAGCAGCTACACAAGGTATGAGGGCGAAGTCGTACTGCTGACTGCAGAGGCGTGTGACAGCAGTAATGTGTTTCCCTCGGACAACCAGCATCTGCAGCGATGCTGCCTTCTCACAAGGAAGGAAGGGAGGAAGGGCTAGAAATAGTCGACCCTAGAAATGTCACACCTCATCCAACCCCACGGATTTCCGTCTCCGTCGGTAAGGGTGCCCATTAAGGGCTTCTAAGAGTGGAGCTAATACTCAAAAAACCCTTCATCAAAAGGCCGTGCGTGACCGGCCTCAAGCAGTTGTCCCTTGGACTCCGTGGTCACCCACCCAGGTCTTCAAGATCAACACTAATCTATCTTCCTTTTCAGGTTCCTCAAGAAACACCCTTCCACGGTGTGAGCAGCCGGGAAGTGACAACCGCCCTCATAACCGTAACAGCACATGAGACCAAATTGATCGAAATCAATAGGGTGTAGCATCTTGAACTGTGGTATGTACGTATCAGCTTCTGCATTGAAACTGACTGATTGATTAATTTTCTTCCGTCATGTTGCTGTTATATATATTTACATCAGACTGAATATTGATTTGTAAGTTTCCAAACGTATCTTTTTTAAAAAAAAATAAACCAAACCTTTTATAGTTAACATAAAAAAAAGCCATTTACCAGCAATACAAGTCATATTTCCATTTTCATATAATGTAAATACAATTGTAATTGAATCCAATTGAGAATAATTAAATGTTAACCGAATTATTGATGATGATATTTGCTGATACAACTGATGAATATCATCTAAACTCTAAAGCAAAATACACTACATGCAACAATAATATGAGATACTTACATGTAAACCTTTATCAATAGCAAATATATACAAAGGAATAGACATAAAACAGATTGATGTATACTGTTGTTGTTGTTGTTGGTGTGATGCGATTAAATTATTTGCTAAGCTAAAAATAGGTATAGTTAACTATGAAAAAAAGAGAAATTACAAAGGATTATCATATAAAAAACCTACTTCAGCTTCTAATGATTGTTTAATATCATCTAATTTTTCTAATGATCTTATATAAATAATATCTCCATTGACAATACCAAATTTTGTAATAGATTGATGTGAATCATTTAAATTGTAATAATCTTTTGCATTCAGACTAATTTCAACATTATCTCTGAGTATGGGGAGAAGTGAAAAAAAAAAACGAGAACAAGAAATACGATGAGATATTTGTGTGTATGAGAGAGGAAAAATGAGAACTGAGAACAAGGAATTATTTGGTGAAAGTATATAATATTAATGTGAGGTCAGAATAATATAATTCCTTGGTTCCTCGATTCTATGTGTTCTTTCAAATCGTAATCTTTTGAATCCCGAATTACTTTTATCTTTTTAAGGTTAGTTCAGTGAATTATACTTGTTGAATAATAACTTCGAACTGTAATCTCTCCGATTACTGCTAATATTTCTGATATCTCTACTATTATGAGATTTGAATAGACGATTGCATCACTGAGCTACCGTGGTATAACAAGCTGAAGTGATATACGTATGCATGTACGAAGTTCTACGTTGTAGCTGACTGATTACCAGATCTGAAACGCAGTAACTGTCGTTTTGCAATGGCAGTACTTGGACATATCTTTTTTTCCTAATTGGTTAAGAGTTATTTGAAGCATTGCATAAATGTAGAAGATTGATGAAGCAATGACAAAACTGGGATTAAGTTCTTATGGGTTGCAAAACAACCATAGACATCCTTAAAAATAAAACTATTTATAGGATAAAAGTGGAAAAAGTGACTACAACTACTCTTGTACGGTCATCCATTGAAAAGAACCCTGTATGAGAACACATAAGTTTATAAGATGCTAACGATTCCGGCTTTTTTACTCAATACCGGAAAAGATACAGATTAGATTAGAGTTTGGTGGTTTTTACACTTGTTCTAAGTAGTATCTATAGTACTGTGAAAGAATTTTCCGTCTTTAAATCAATATGCCAAAGAGATATGTATTGGAATGTGTGTTCACTTAGGAGATCGAAACAACTACGGAAACATTACTGAGTGAAATTCATATCTTTACATGTAATCATACACTAGATAACAACAGTCATTGAGAGTACATTATCTTTTGATCTTTATAACCCTTTTCGAAAACCAGTAACTTATTTAAGCTTGGATTTAATAGAACTGATGAACGAAAATTGTACTGGTTCAAGACAATACTTCTACAGTTTGAGAGTCAGCTAGAATATAGTCGATAAAAAAGCTCTTTAGTGATGTTCAGTGACATCGAAAATACTATATACAACCACGAGCTAATACGAAACTAATGAGCGAGGAAGTTGTTGAACATATGGATAAAAAGTAGATGTTCCCACAAAACCTTTCTGACTAGAACAATTTTTTCACAAATTTACATATTTTAGATACTTTCAAAATCAGAACATCCTTAAGAAAACATAAACCACAGCCTACCTTTTTAGGCCGAAAAATTTTGAAGCAGATTCGAAAATTTCGTTAAGAGTGGCATCAGCTGCAGTCGTCTCAAAAACATGAAACTTATTGAGAAACTTTAGCCTGAGTCTCATTACTTCCAACTCCCGCCTTAATCAGACCTTGTAACTAGAAGAAATAAAAGAAGTTCGGGAACTGTTAGACGGATTACTCCTACATTATGCATTGAAAAATCTAAATCTTGAGTTGTCAGTGGTACATAAATATTGTTTATTCAGACTTGGCATTGACTGTTATACTGTTTAATATCTGAGGTGTGAGTTGGAATAAGTAAACTGTACAATGTTTTCATCTATCCTGCATGGCGAACGTAAGGTCAGTCATTCTTTAAGAATATGAAGCCGATTAATAAGGCTATTGTCCCATGTTAATCGGCTTCTGGTAACTGAATGGATGATATATTTACAAGACTCAGAACTCAGTAGCTAATTTGCATAGGTGAAACTTTATGTTTCTTCCGCGAGTTTATTTTCCTGTTAATTTTTTAGCAGTTATGTCACTTTCAATACTTCCAGAAGTTTTTTATCTAGTTATCTTCTCTGAGATACAAATATGTTAGTTGATTTTACTACCGAAGCTGTTTTATTAGGTCGTCTAGCTCCTATATTTCTCATACTTACTACTTCATCATTCACAGCCATAACCCTCGGAAGCTATAAGAACCATGCGTCTCTACATCGAGGTTAGTGATCAAATGAAAGGGTGTAAAAACTGTCACACGAAGTGCTCAAAGACATGAAGATCGGTAATAAGTAAAGTTTCTTTTAAATTGATATCTCTAATCGATTTTTTACCCAGTAGCCGGTTTAACCATAGTATCTAAGATCTGACAAAATGTAGTAGTAGTAATCAATATCATCTGGACAAGAGCAGAGAAAACCGAGACATAAGCTGAGTACACAGAAGCAAACATGCTAGCGAACAGGAGCACCAGGACTGATAATCGAAAACATGCGGAAGATCTAGCAGTGATTGTGGAAAAAGCTGCAGGAAAATGAGACATGAGACAACTATATGATACAATAAAGAAGCTTGCTCAAATACATCGAACAGCCGAACGATCAGTGAAAAGCAAGAAAGGCGAAATAACCACCAACATTGAAGAACAGCTGGACAAGTGGGTAGAGCGCTTTGAAGAACTTTTTAGTCTACCAGCCCCACTGAACTCACCCAACAATGAAGCAGTTCCCGCGAACTTCCCGATCGATTTTGACCCTTCTGTAAATGAATTTCTACAGTGGCTGTTCCGATGGGTTCCTTTAGATGCACTCCTGTACTCGATTCCCCCAGTCACAGGTCCAAACAAATCAAAAAGGGACAAAAAGTCTAGGAGAAAGCGTCTTATTTAAATAAAAACATGAGAATACAAAGCATTACCTGGAATTAATGCTCCTTCCAGGATACAATTACTCCGAAGAGTATCAGAAACAGTGATAGATAAGTGACGCTAAGTCCAGCGGCCACTGCATCAAACCAAATATGGCTGTAGCCATATTAAAGATCAAATTTAAACAACATATATACAGATCAAAAGCAAACACAAAAACTTCAAAATAAGTACAAAATATAGAAATAATAACAATATACGATGATAAATCTCAAATTGGAATCAAATAAAATACCAAAAATGTCGACAGAAAAAGTCCGTCATGTCATAACAAAAATATGTAAACATGGAGGGATTTTCCAAAAAACAAAACATTCAAAAAGGATTCTACACCTTCAGCAATTGAAGAGATCTACATTACCACCAGAAAAATGAAGAGTGGTAAAGCGGCGGGATCGGAAAACATACCAGCTGATGCACAGAAAGCAGAGACAGAAGTTACTGCTCTCCTCTGCAAGATTTGGGAGAAAGAACGAGAGAGGACAGATTGAAAAGAAGGACACCTAGTCAAGATTCTAAAGAAAGGAGATATCAGCAAGTGTGAGAACTACGGATATATCACTCTTATCTTAGTACCAGGGAAAGTCTTCAACAGAGTTTTGTTACACCGTATGAAAGATTCAGCAGACGCAAAAATTCGAAAACAGCAGACCGGATTTCGATCGTCTACTGATCAAACTGCAACATTGCTGATCATTGTGGAACAACCAATTGAACGGAACTCATCACTATACATCAACTTCATTGACTACGAGAAAGCATTTGATAGTATGAACAGGAAAATACTCTGGAGGCTTTTTCAATAATATGGCGTGCCTGAGAATATAGCCAACATCATACGGAATCCTTATGATGGACTACACTGTAAAATTATGCATAGAGGACAGCTCACAGACTCATTCATATTGAAGACTAGTGTCAGGTGAGGTTACTAACTCTCACCCTTCCTCTTTCTTCTGAGGACCGATTGGGTGATGAAGACATCAACGTCTAAGGGAAAGTGCAGGATACAGTGAGCAGTTTGTATACAGCTGGAAGGTTTAGACTTCTCAGATGATCTGGCCCTTCTGTCGTACACCTAACAATAAATGCAGCAGAAGACAACCAGTGTAGTAGCAGTCTTAGCAGCAATATGTCTTAACATAAAGGGATAGGATCCTTGCATACAACACAGCATGCACCAACCAACCGAATCACACATAACGGTGAAGCTTCGGAAGATGTAATAACCTTAACATACCTGGGCAGTAAAACTGATGAGCACGGAGGATCTGATGAGCGAATCGGCTAGGCAAGGGCAGCGTTTCTACAATTGAAGAACATCTGGAATTCCTTGAGTCGCATTTTTGTCACATATTTTACAAAAGATTGTGTCATCACAAATCAATTTTTATTCAGAGGTAACTCACTACAGATCATCTTGATTACATCTTTTAATCACTTTTAGAACGAGCCAATCTATTTTTGTTTATCGTAAAACTTTTCAAAGACAAGGAAAATCCACATTTTCAGATATTGTTAGAAATTAAATATGATGCTACCAATGCTTGGAGATTTTGGTTAGTGAAATAAAGTAGTATTCAGCTAAACAAAAAGCATTATATGAACTTGCTGATTGCTTTTAGAATTTGTTGTTTTTACATCAAGGACTGATTTTGGTTGAATAATCACTGATAATTAGAAGGTGAATGACGATTTATCTTTGTTTAGAATCTCTCCTCTGCGAGGATTTATGGATCTACGAGCAATTCATCAAGTATTTTGAGGCCTCATGAAAAATTCTTAACTTTTAGACAACTAGCGGATAAATTATGATTTACGCTTCCACATTCAATCGATTTGTTACATGATTCGTCAAAGCTGAATTTCAATTGCCTCCAGTTTCTCATTAAGTCTTAAGGAGCTACTCCCTTAGTTATTTACTAGTGAGAATATGGTGACATTAAAAATATCGTGAAATATGAAGATCATTGAATATTATACGGAAATTGTTGCTTTTGGGTGAAATGAAGTGAAGTAAAGGGAGAATGTGTGGTTCACTTCTAAATTTTGAAAGATATTAATTAACCTGACAAAAATATCACAATTTTCTAGAATGAAACTCAATATATAATCAACTAAATAATTCTGGGGGAAGTCATAGTGTGGTGTGAGCTACTTATAAGTAGTATATGACGTGAGTGTCAACGTAATGTCTGGCAGCAGAAGAGAAGATGGGGGAAGATCAACAAGAAAGGAAGAGTGGGGGGAACACAATGGAATTTGTATGAAACGCATGAATAGTGACAATGGATTGATGTTTTGCAACAGGAACAGTCCAGTTCGATATGATGGACTGATATTTTGCAAATTAACAACGATTTACGATATGGTTTTCCAATTCTACTGAGTAACTCTGTAATTTTTGTTAAATACGATCCGGTTGCCCCACCTGTGTTCTACTCCACTACAATAGGTAGTCGACGAATAAATAATTAATTCTTTCTTTCCAGCCTAGCTGAAAATGATGTATGGTTTTAGATTAAGATAAGATTGGTGAAAAGTTTTGACGGAGATGCTTGTGACTTGATGACAATATTGAGGTTATTCACACAGAATGTACATTCGTGAAAGAGACTGATTAATTGCGAAGATTCAAACATCCTATATAAATGTGGCAATACTAATTAATGGTAATTTGAAATGGAATCATTATGATTGCAGTAATGTATTTCAATGACCCGGTATCTGACTTTCAGTTTATAAGAACAAATGAATATTCTATGTCATAAACCTCTTCTTCAATTTCCGTTCATGCAACAGTGGTTATAAAAAGGACAGTACGATTTTATGGGGGATCAGTTCACTTAATACATTTTCGTAAACAGGCGAAATGAGGAAAATTGAAGCGGAAAAGGAGAGTAGGCGAACTCAGTGTGACGAGGTAGTACTAGTAGTACTGTAGTGAACGAGAACACAGGTGGGGCAACCGGTTTGCATTTAACGAAAATTACACAGTTACTCAGTAAAATAGGAAAACCATATCATAAATCATTAATTTGCAAAATATCAGTCCATCCTATCGAACTGGATTGTTCCTGTTGCAAAACATCAACAATTCATTGTCACTATTCATGCGTTTCATACAAATTCCATTGTGTTCCCCCCACTCTTCTTCCTTTCTTGATCTTCCCCCATCTTCTCTTCTGCCAGACATTACGTTGACACTCACGTCATATACTACTTATAAGTAGCTCACACCACAGTAGCAGTATTAGTAGTTATAGAAAACAAGAGGGTTTGAAGATACGATTTGAGGAGTTTAGTTTACTGAAATAAATTTAGAATCAGAAAGCTAAAGGTCATGATAAATTCAGAAAATTAGAATTAGAAATAAGATAAATAGTGGATGCACATGCGCTAATGCAAACGATTTTGAACCATGTCATCTCATCTAAAGTCTCTAACCATCAGTTACTACTATCTCGTGAATCGTAACCTGGTAGTCTTTACCTACTTACATGGCTCAGACCATTTTGTGAGTGACTTCATGGATTTGTGCCATGTTTTGATTTAGCCGCCCATAGCTTTCTTCCAAACTACCCCTAAATTAGACAACATCACTCATCGAGACAGTCGGTGGGCTCAAACATTTGATCAGTCTACTAAAATTTTAAGCACTAAAATGTCAATATTACGCTAAAATAAAAATTAATTATTACATCTCAACATTTTGAGTG